CTTTTATATGCTACACTGAAGGATGGAATCTTAGAAAAGGGTTTCAAGTAAACTAAGGACATAAGCTTATAGGACAGTAGAATTATATTCAAATATTTGCTTCGAGCAATGCTCTTCAGCAAACTATAAAGATAAGGCCATAAGGAATAAATTAGCACAAATCAATAACGCGCCATCTATACATATAAAATAAAAGGATTTAAAAGCGCGAATGTTTCTTTTATACATAAAACGAACTTCTACTGTCCTTACTGCGATGAAAAAATATATTGGGAGGGCTTGGCTCATCAGTGGTGAACCCTCCCAGCGGTTTCGCCAATTTAATCCACCAGACCGCTTCTCAAAGCTCTAATACTGTATTGGATCATTCTGCTTTTATGCACTGAAGGATGGAAACTTAGAAATGGCGAAACTGCTGGGAGGGTTCACCACTGATGAGCCAAGCCCTCCCAATATATTTTTTCATCGCAGTAAGGACAGTAGAAGTTCGTTTTATGTATAAAAGAAACATTCGCGCTTTTAAATCCTTTTATTTTATATGTATAGATGGCGCGTTATTGATTTGTGTTAATTTATTCCTTATGGCCTTGTCTTTATAGTTTGCTGAAGAGCATTGCTCGAAGCAAATATTTGAATATAATTCTACTGTCCTATAAGCTTATGTCCTTAGTTTACTTGAAACCCATTTCTAAGATTCCATCCTTCAGTGTAGCATATAAAAGCAGAATGATCCAATACAGTATTAGAGCTCTGAGAAGCGGTCTGGTGGATTAAATTGGCGAAACCGCTGGGAGGGTTCACCACTGATGAGCCAAGCCCTCCCAATATATTTTTTCATCGCAGTAAGGACAGTAGAAGTTCGTTTTATGTATAAAAGAAACATTCGCGCTTTTAAATCCTTTTATTTTATATTATAAATTACTTTATATAATATTTAAGAACGGAGAAATATTTCCAGGGTAGCCTAGTGGACATGGCATCTGCATCTGGGTTCGATTCCCATCCCTGGACACTTTTATTTTTCCGTTTATCATTACTCTTCATAATTCCTTATTTCATACTTCATCCCTAAGGTTGGAAATAATCGTTGTTTCTCCTTAAAATAAATTTAGATTTTTCGTTTCAAAGAAACACATGCGGGATAAATTTCGAAGGTCGTTCTATAAACATATTATACAATGTATTGTACAAGAGAAAAAAGAAACAATAATATATTATTAGGAATCTAATCCTTGCAGGTTAGAAAGATAATCATAAATACACCTATCCCCCGATTTACACGGTAGATACGTTCCTGAGAAAAATGTGTAAATCGAGGAATAGGTGTACACAGAAATAAAAATAAAATACATTGACAGGTTAAAATATGTAGTCAGCACATAAGCTCGGGATTCCTCGTGAGATGTGTACACAGCGCATGTGTTCAATCACAGTAGCATTTAGTATAGTGCGATAAAAAAACTTATTTGGAAAACCGTGTAAAAGCGAAAACGTGTAAAACAAGTACCGTGTAAATCGGGGGATAGATGTATAGAGAATTATTTAGATTTATAATTGTCAAAATATATTTTGTGTGTTGTCCGTTTTAAAGGTTTGAAGTGAGAAATAACTATAGCTAGTTTAGTTAAGGCATTCACAGTGTTTATTTTATGGCGTAGCATTGCTCGATTTTTTTAATCCTTCTACATTTAAATATTTATACAGACTTAGAACCATATATATGTTATATTAAAATATTATTTTATTTAAAATTATATTTCATAGGTTCAAATACCCTGCTAAATCGACCGCTAGAGGTCACGCTTCCCCTATAAAACCTCATTGTTGTTGTTTCCCGTTGGCCGGCTCAAAACCTTTGTACATTATGTAAATGAATCTTTCATTTTTATATTCTTACGCCTTAAGCCAGGCAGAACTTTTATCAAATTATGTTTCTATATATTCCATAAGCTCAATTAAAGAAATCTCTGATCAAGATTATTACTATTATTGCCACGACTGCAGAACAATATCGCAATATACTCATGGATACCAAAATCAAGCAACAGATAATAATTCTATATAAATAATATATTTCTCACATCTTTAATAATAAAAATAAATTATGTTACGATGCACCCGCGCGCCATCTGTTATCAAATTATAAAACTATTTTAGAGGCGTAATATTCTTTTTAAAATAAAACAATTTTTACTGTCCTTACTGCGATGGAAAAATTAAAGGGAGGGCCTGGCTCATCAGTGGTGAACCCTCCCAGCGGTTTCGCCAGTTTAATCTACCATACCGCTGTTATATTGCATTTTTGGAACTTTACCGCTGTTATATTGCATTTTTGGAACTTATAACTATAAAAGGAAGTTCCAAAAATGCAATATAACAGCGGTATGGTAGATTAAACTGGCGAAACCGCTGGGAGGGTTCACCACTGATGAGCCAGGCCCTCCCTTTAATTTTTTCCATCGCAGTAAGGACAGTAGAAATTGTTTTATTTTAAAAAGAATATTACGCCTCTAAAATAGTTTTATAATTTAATAAAAATAAAGCCGAAAATCTTTTTATATATAACATGTATATACTCTCTATTACCGTATTCCATAATTTTACTATCCTAAAAGCTTATGTCCATAGTTTGCTCAAGTACCATTTCTGAGATTCCACCCTTCAGTGTAGCATATAAAAGCAGAATGATCCAATACAGTATTAGAGCTATAAAAAAGTGGTCTAGTAGGTTAAATTGTTGAAACCGCTGGGAGGATTCACCACTGATGAGCCAAGCCCTCTCAATATTTTTTCATCGGAGTATGGACAGTATAAATTTGATTTATCAAAATTCGAAAAAATTATAGATGCGTATGATTCTTTTTAAAAATAAACTATTACTACTCTCTTTACTGCAATGGAATTATTTTTTAAATAATCATACACGTCTAAAATAGTTTCGAATTTTGATAACAGATGGCGTGATAATGCATCATAAATTTGATTCATGTTTGAAAGAAATATTCACGTCTTAATGTTTTCATTTGCAATGAAGGGTTTATGAAAATATTAGACTAATACAATAGTAGGGCTGTCTGAAGATTAAAACGGCGAAACCGAAAGGAGGGTTCACTACTGATGAGCTATTAATAAATAGCCAGCATAAGTTCTGTATAAATAGCGTTAATTATATGAAAAGTTTCTAATAACAAAAAATATAATTCACACTACTAATGAGCCATGCCCTCTCTCATTCAATTTTAATTCATTGAACTATGAATTATGTAGGAATAACGTTGATTATATGTATTAAAAAGTAGCAATAACAAAAATTGCCAGCAATATTTTATCAAGGGGTTAAAAAGAATAGGTTGACATCAAAGAGAGAATGTGCTGAGAGAAGAGGTAGAGACGGTTGTAATTCTGTCAAAACGCCGCCAAGATAGCAGCGCCTATCTTCCTCCACATGATACGGCGGGTATTTTGCAACGGAAAGATGAAGTGTCGGCCATGATAACTTATCGGCGTTGTTCCGGGGACTTATCTTGTGAGAATGTCACACATGGCATTTTAACTTGGCACTCTTCTTGCCTTGAAATAAGCCCATATCGGATGTTAAAGTCATATAGCTTCATATAGCTTAAAGTATATAGCCTCAAATAGCTTTAAGTATATACCTAAACATAAAATATCATCTGATTTTTTTAATTATCCTTAGTATATACGTGGTACAGGCCATGATAATCATGGTGGGTAGAAGTTAGCGTCTGATTTTACTCTAAGTGCACCACATGTCTACATATAGATGGAAAATTTGCCGGGAGGAAATTAATCCATAGAAGCAATGGGCGCTTCTATGTCTACATATGTGAAAATCAGTTCAACTTTGCACTTACAAGTGAGCCAAAGCCCCGTTTGTTTACTTGCACTCGCTGGTGAGATTGGACTTTTTCAAGAATCGGGGAGCATTGGAGCATATATATTTTTTAATCAGAAAAAAGTGCCCAATGCGGGATTCAATCCCTGTTCGTAGTGATCGAAAACCAAATATCTGATAAACACAAGCTAATAAAACCACAATCCAAATAAATAAATAGTGTGTGATGCTTCAATAACAACATTTTTCTATGAAAAATAGACACTTCGGACAGTTAGAGTTTTTTGTTTTTCTCAACGTTTCGACAAAAATCTTTTGTCCTCGTCAGAAGTAAATAAAATAAAGCATTTGGCAAGGCGTTAAAAATTGTTCTACAGAACACCTTGCCAAATATTTTATTTTATTTACTTCTCCTGACGAAGACAAACGATTTTTGTCGAAATGTTGAGAAAATAAAAAACTCTAACTGGTCGAAGTGTCTATTTTTCATATAAATATGAATGCCGGCCAGGCAACCTCTATCATTACGATAATAACAACATTGTTACCAAAACTTACAAGCTAATTATTTATTTGGATATTATCTTATTACCTTGTGTTTATAATCTATTATCCAAATTGTGTGTTATCATCATCTGATAAATGTTCTCTATATATAGGCAAACTTAAGATACTCTCTCTTTCTTAACTTGATTAATTTTATCAAACAATTAACCTATTAAACAATCTACTAAACCAGCTGCTTTTAATAGTTTACACTGCATATATTCATTTAAATAAAAAGGAATATATTGGATCAAAATAGCATTCATTTTACCAATATTTCAGTTGGCTGAACGTCAACCTTTATCAAGGTATTATAACATTTTATAGTGTGTCAACAACAAACTCAGCGCGTTGACACACATTAATATGTTATAACACCTTGATAAAGGTTGGCGTTCAGCCAACTGAAATATTGGTTTAAAAATGATATTAAATAAATGATATAATATATGCTTTTTTATTTAAAGATTTATATATGGATTGCTCTATTTTCAAAATGTAAATTCAATAGAGTAAACATGTAATAAATTGTTTGAAGTCTATATGTATCAGTTGGAGAGATATACAGTTGAAACCTTTCTGACTAAACTGTACTTATTTCGTCTCAGTTTACATGTGTTACGTTAGAACATATTCACCCTTTCTTAACTATTTACACAAAACCAGCGTGTGGGGTACATTTATTAGATAAATTGATTAAATTTTTTTTTATTTTTTATTTCGCGCTTTCTTTTTATTTCATTAGAAAAATTCTTGTACCTTATTTGATTTGGCGATTTTTTACCTTTCCTTTCACCTGTTTACTTTTTACTTTTCTTTGGTAGAGATTTCTTTGATTATTTTCTCTCCTTTTTTTATATTATATTTCATTTGGTGAAAACTAACTTTTTCTTTTTGTATTAGATTTATACATTTTTAAAACAACACGCTTCCAGATTACTAAGAAGTTAGAAATTCTGATAACTTGTATTATCATTGAGATTCAATAAGCGGGAGAATTTTCACGTTTCTAGGTTTCTGTAAATATATAAATAAAATTGAAAACAGATTTGTGGTTATTAAAAAAAAATAGAAAAAGTAATTAAAGAATTGGAAGATTTGCAACAAAAGTACATTGAATGTAGGTAGGGACCTGAAGAATTCTAAGAGCCTTCTGAATAGTATATGGGTTACTCAGGAGAGTCTGCGACGTAGCTCTAGAGGGCCATCTTCTAATCCTTCCAGCTTCATTCTTATTTTGGCTTTGATTGTATATTCAGTAGTGTAAATCCGCTGTGAGAGATATTGCTGGGAAGGTGGAACTGCAAGGTCCTCCTCTAATAAAGGTTTTGGCGAATTTATAGTAAGGCTACGCAACCTAATACACACATGCAGTTTTATTAAGACCACCAGTCTTATACAGATTCACCACAGGTAGGAAGAATTGATGGAGCTCCTATACTCCAGTTAACACAGAACCTAACAGCCTCCAGGTCCGACGCATGTCCAGTGGCTACAGAATCCACCCTGCATAGGTTAGCGTATCACTGAAAAGGCGAGTGTGGAATCAGCCGCGTTTTAGTATTCGCTTTCCTCATCCAAATTGAACACGACATTCGGCGATTTTATTAATCTCCTCCGAACGGTAACTGTGGTCTTGAATAATTTATATAAACCAAAGACCTTGATCAATGACATTGGTGTCAAACGCTTGTTTGTCCCAAACATCCAAGCCATTGATGATATCTATAATGATAAAAATAGCGTGGAATCTGCGGTGAAGGTGAGTTCGAATTGCCCTGTATATTTTACTTATACATATTGTTGTGACAGGTTACGGTCTGGATAATTCGCTATTTCTAGTAGACGTTATTTCCAGTAGGCGTTATTTCTAGTAGACATTATTTTCAGTAGACGTTATTTCTAATAGACCTTTTTTCCAGTAGGCGTTATTTCCAGTAGTCGTTATTTCTAGTAGACATTATTTCCAGTAGACGTTATTTCTAGTAAGCATTATTTCCAGTAGACGTTATTTCCAGTAGAAATTATTTCCAGTAGGCGTTATTTCCAGTAGACGTTATTTCTAGTAGAAATTATTTCCAGTAGACATGCGACTGGATAACTTAACCAATAGCAGCCGCCATATCTCGACTATACAGCGGCTGTAAATCAGACGTGATTCACAGGAGAGATACAACTTTACTGGACTTTCTTATCTACTGTCACACTTCTAAATCATGAGTTACACCATCAAGTCTTATTCACTAGATGTTACAGTAGAGTTGAGATATCTTGTTACTTTGTCTTTGTATGAATATATGTTCTTTAAACTCAGTTTCACACAGTGATTTCTTAAATTTATTATTATATAATGTTTTCTAGACTATTGTTTTTATTATGAAAAAAAGATTGAAATATTTTTGAACATTTTACATATGTGAAGCTAATATGTACTAATATTGGCTTTATATCTTGGTTTAATTTCTCTATAAATAATATATATGTGTTTCAATGATTTAACTAATTTAATCCTTTTTATTATGAAATTCTATTAGCAAACCCTTTTAAAAACAACACAGTCTACTAAATTTCCAGAAATTCTTAATAAAATCCCTGTTAACTTCTAGAAGACATTTTTGGTGAACTATGTCATTTTTGTACAATAGGGTGACCAGTGTTATCTTGTTTTATTATTTTTAAAATCTTTGGTATTTTGGGTCTAGGCTCAACCTGACCTTACCAAGGGATTGACGTCTTGTTTAGGGGTTATAGCCGTAGACCCATGTTTCATCACCAATGATTATCTTGTTTTTCCATTCCCCGGGATCTTATTGCAATTATCAAGATGTTCTTACAAGTTTCGAACCTGAATACAGTTGAACCTGTCTATAGCGCCCCCTCTTGGGATTCACCAAAATAGGGTGCTATAGAGAGGGGGTGCTATAGACAGGTCACTTTTAATGTAAAATGTTTACATTTTAATGTTTAAAAACGGGCGCTATAGAGAGGAAGGCGCTATTTAGAGGGGTACTATATAATGATTTTAGAGAAAACTGTCTTTTACTCTAATTTCCGTAAATTATATTGAGGGTTTTATTTTTGTGTGTTTGACTAATTTGCTGATTTGTGTCATATTTTCCTGAATTCTTTGCAGAATATGAAAGTCAATGATGAGGATTATCATTAAATAAGATTCAGTTATTTATATATCGCGGATAACATTCGCCTAAGGGTATTATTGATGAATGCTTGATAAATCTTGTTCAAAGCTCCGTTAGCTGAATTTCGAAAATTGAGATAAAAATCTAAGTAAATACTTTCATATTTTATTCTGATCCATTGAAAAATACCTAAGGCAAAACAGTAAATTTTCAAATATCGATTAATTTGGAATACACGTATGTGTAGCGTCTCGAATATTGTGTCACTTTTGAAGCCATCTTTTATTCTATTAAATAAAATTAAAAATTAGTAAAAACGTATTTATTTTTTTTATGTTTTCTTGGAAATTATTAGACGCACACCTTGTATTTAAATATTTTCTATATAGGTTTATATATTTTTAATATAAAATTCGTAAAGTATCAAATACAAAGATTACTTATATGCCTTTGTGAATTTTGCAAAAAAAAACTGAGTTTCTGACTATGGTATATTGTATCACGACAATCTGGATATACGCTGTTGACTCCTATAGTATGAAGTGGATACATTCCTTTCTAAGCTGGATGATAGAGAGGGGAAGTGTGAAGCTAATGGGAAATGGAAAATCTATACATGTGGATAAGAAAGTGACAGGAGAAGGTATTTGTCGTAGAGGAGAAACACTCTGTAAAGGCTTTGAGAATAGACAATAAGAAAACGAATTAATTCATTTTCTACCGCTCGTAGAATGAAAACCTCTATTCAAAGAAGTTTAGAAGTGGACAGCCCACCTTAGATTCTTAATCCCCTGTTAATCCCCAATAATTATGACCTTTTAGAAGGATTTTCAACTTTTCCGGAACCCTGAATCTCTCTCGAATGAAATGGAAAAGCAAATCAAGTTTATTGGAACTTTTGTTACATACGTCACGTAGTAAGAGGTTTAAATAATTTTAAAGATAAATAAAGATGTGGATGTGTTAAAAGACGTATGTTTATTATAGTAAAATTGTGTGAATGTTTCTATTCTATAATATTTGAGTTTATTTCATCATATAATGACTGGTTATACTTTAAATATGGTAGATGGTTTTAAAAATGTTATAAATTATATTCATAAATATAATAATTTAAATTTGATGCACTGAGATTTGGTGTATGTCTTGATTAATCTTTTATAAAATAATTTGTATTAAAATTTGTGTTTTCTTTTATCATATAATGACTAGTTATTCTTCACATGTAGAAGATGGTTTTTTAATGCTATGTGTATATTCAAATAATAATTTAATATATATATATACTGATTCGGTGTAGTTTTATCTTATAGTTTGCTTTTGAAATTTACTATATATTTTCTTTAATTTAACAGGCATATATTGGAACAAATTATAATTTGCCTACCAATATTTCAGTTGGCTGAACGCTAACATTTTTTAAGGTATTAAAACAGATTTATGTCAACAACAAACTCAGCGCCACATGACGTCAAAAAGCGTTATGTAGCGCTGAGTTTGTTGTTGACACATAAATATGTTATGATACCTTGATAAAGGTTGGCGTTCAGCCAATTGAAAAATTGGTAAATAACTTATATTTTGATCCAATATATGCCTTTTTTTATTGAAGATATATTTATGGATTGCACTATTCCACACAATATCGTTCTGAAAATAAAGCAATCCATACTTAAATCATTAGATAGTAAAAAGGCATATATTGGATTGAATAAAGGAAAATAAATCTTTTATTCAGTCCAATATATGCCTTTTTACTCTCTAATATATATAATTAAATGACTGTATTTTAAATGTTGATATGTGTAGGCTGAGGATTCAAAAGCCATCAAGAACCTGAGCTCTGCGATTTAGAAATAAAGGGCTTTACATTCAAGAGAGCTATCCGTAGACAGTGAAGAGGTATGTGCCAACTGTCATGGAGTTGCTCTCTTTAAAGTAAGCCCTAAAGCATCTTCATCCAACACCGCAAACGTGGCAAGTATATTTTTATCATTGCATTAATGTGAAATAAATATGGTATGTGCTTTATAATTTATATACTTATTTTATATATTATCGATAATTATATTTTCATATTATTTATTATTATTATTAACAGAGTTTACCACAGCACTGACCAGGAGTCAATATATCAAATGTAAATATCTTTGTTTACTTTTAATGTTGTTACTTATTGAAGTTGTAAATAAAAATATGTAAATAGATTGACCATTCGTTACACTTTTTAGAGAGAAACTTGTAACCTTTTTTGAAAATAAAGTTAAAAGAGTTTCAATATAGATAGAGAACCACATTGTAAAAATAAAAATAATTAATAGCTATTTTCACAATGCCTATAATATAATATACTCTATTTTCCTAATATATATTTAGTAATAAAGGTCAATATACACTAGATTTTCTTGTACCATAAACATACATAGTGTTACAGCCCCAAAATGTACATAAAAATCAACGCGTCATCTTGAGGATCATGTAATCTTAAATTGCACAATATATTCGGAACTATTAAAAACGCGTATGATTCTTGAAAAAAATTACTGCAAGAGCAGTAGAAACTGTTTATTTTTAAAAAGAATTATACGTGTCTATAATAGTTTCGAATTTTGATAACAGATGGCGCGCTAATGCATCATAAGCTAATATATATAGGGTTTATAAAGAGAGTCAGTCAATGCGACCCAAAAAAGACGGGATCCAGTCCTAAGAAATAATCGCCGAGATTACATTAGACAATAAAAAGTTCCTTTATCGTCGCATGCAATCCTTCTCGGGGATCTTCCACAAGTCATTAGTTTGAAGATAGTTATTGACCGACTGATGGACGAACTACATCTCACACACTCCTGGATATTGCCGTGTGGCGCCGCTGGTATCTCTTATGTGCCACCCAGCTTGCCTCGTCCTTTGTTTATTTATTTATGCTTATGAGGTGATACAGCAACGCCTTTACAATAAGAGAGGAGACAAAATGAATCAAATCTAGAAAAAAGAAGTGAGGACTTCTCGGTCATTAAAGTCTGAGAGGCAAGGCCTTCAGCCAGTTCAGGGCTTCCGGGGTGACAGAGTGGAGATTGGAGATTCCTCCATTGAATTTGTACAGCGGGCAGTCATCTAGTATATGGGACATTGATTGTGGGACGTTGCAGGCATATATATATATAATGATTATTTTTTGTTTTATTGTAGAAAAGAGGTGCAGTCGTGAAAAAGTAAAGATAATTATTTACCTTTCAAGTAGATTTTATATTGAATTACTGGAAGTAAAATTACACATAAAAATATTTATCACAGCAATATAGAATTTATAGAATGAATTCTATAATCGTGATTAAAAAAAAATAGGTAGGGTTAAATATACATATTTACAACAATAATTAAAGTGGTATGTTCTGAATCTATATGGTCAAAAAATGTAGAACAGTCAATGAATGAAAATGAAATATATGTTTTTAAAAAAAATAAAATATTTGTTTTTTAGATTATATAATATATATATAATAAAAAGGCCTATATTGGATTGAATATATATAAAAGATTTATTTGCCGAATTTCGGTTGGCTGAACGCCAACCTTTGTTAAGGCATTACGGTTTGCGTTCAGCCACCCGAAATATTGGCAAATAAATATTTTATTCAATCCAATATATACCTTCTTACTATCTAAAGATTTGAATATGTATTTTTCTATATTCATAACTATATATATATTTAAATAAAAGGGCATATATTGGATAAAAATATCATTTATTTTACCAATACACCTAATAAAAATGATATTTTGATCCAATATATGCCCTTTTATTTAAAGATTTATTTATGGATTGCTCTATTTTCAATATATATATATATAAATATTACAGGCTCCTGGAGCGCCGAACGCAACTATCTGGTAAAATATTGAAAGTGGTTTAATTAAACAAATAAAACGTATATATAAGACCAGATTTTTAAAAAATAACTATTTCTGATGCGTATGTTTCTTTTAAAATAAAGTAATTATCAACTACCCTTGTTGCTATGATTAAAATAATGGGAGGACCTGGCTCATCAGTGATGGCCCCTCTCAATGGTTTCGTCAGATTAATATACCATAACACTCCAATATTTCATTGGGTTTTTTTCTTTTGGTGAACTCTTGTAAAAGGTATTTCAAACGAACTATGGACATAAGCTTTGATGCTTGTTCAGTAACAGATGAAAGGTAGTAGTAGAGAGGAAAATATCAGCTGTGTAGTCAGGAGTAAGATGTAACTAAGTTGCGGTGTTCCCAAGACTCACAAAAGTCCATCTTACCTTCTTGAGTGCCACGCTAAACTGTTGTAACCATGTTCTATGCGTGTGGACTTCTTTTGTGTTCAGGATTGTGCAACTTCAGTCCAAACTTCATGTTTGATGAGGAGCCTACTGTGGCAGTGTCGGCTTCACACTTTACAACATATATATTCTATAAACAGTTACGAGCGTCATTCCTCATCTCCTAATCAATCAGTCATCAGTTTTCATCTCTGTAACCGTTTGCTTTTTTTTTGGAATGGCGCCCTCCTATTGGCTGGCTACGGTCACGCCACCTTTGCCCCCCCATCATGCCCCCCCCACTCGCTATTCCGTCTTTGTAACTATTGTGTTGGAGCGGGTCGCTCCCTAAATAAATGCATATATTAGATAATAACCAAATGGAATCCTCTCTTTCTTTTTCCCAGTAAGAGACGCCTCCGGAAGCCAACAGTACATAGACAGATAAAACACATAGGCTATAGTTATTAACTAACATATGCAATTTTTAAAAGGCGCCAATTTATAATTGTATAAAATAGTATTTGAATCAAAACATTCAATCGGGTAAAACACGGGCGTTGCCCGGGTCATTCGTCTAGTATAGAATAACAGTGGGTGTTTTTTGATATGTATATTTATTAAAATATCCAAATATTTGTTTGTGTTGATAGTTTATTTTTATTGATTGAAGTGATCTTCCTATTTAATTTACTTTATAACTAGAAATTATTTCTCTCTTTAAAATACCATCATCTATGAGTGTATTTTGATATGTATAATTATTAAAATATCCAAATATTTGTTTGTGTTGATAGTTTATTTTCATTCATTGAAGTTGATCCCCCCCTATTGAATTTACTTTATTACTAGAAATTATTTCTCTCTTTCGAAGACTATCATCTATGAGTGCATTTTGATAGGTATAATTATAAAAAATTTCAAATTTCTGTTTGTGCGTTGATATTTTATTTTTATTCATTGAAGGCTTCCACCTATTAAGATTACTTTATTGCTGAATATATTTCTCTCTTTCAAAGACTTTCATCTATGAGTGTATTTCGATATGTACAATTATTGATATATTCAAATATTTGTTTGTGTTGATAGTTTATTTTTATTCATTGAAGTGATTCAATCAAATTTAAAACTAGACATTAATTTTCTCTTTCAAAGACTCATCTACAAGTATCATCTATCATAAGTTGGGTAACGCCAATCAACTCATTGACCTGTCTTTTTGTGGGGAAAAACTCTGACAGTGCATCGTTAGCGGAGTCCTTTCCGCGTTGAGCGTTATTAACGAAAACTTGTATTTAATATTATTTATTTATATTCATTTATTTGTATGTGTGTCTGTATTCATATAACCTTATATGAAAATGAAAGAAAAGAAAAAAGATAAAAAGATCAGGTGTTGAAATCAAAAATAAAAATGGCATATCCAGACCAGGAGCACATGTGCTTTACAGAAGGCAGAACGCCATCTGGTGGAACAGAAATCAAATAATCATTGATTAATATCAGGGAACAGGCTAAATCAATGATTAGTTGATTTCTGTTCCACCAGATGGCGTTGTGCCTTCTGTAAAGCACATGTGCCCCTGGTCAGGATATGCCATTTTTATTTTTGTTAACCTTATATGTGTGGAAATTTTAATAAAGTAGTTTCAATCTCAATCTCTTTCTCTTTATATATTGCCACGTGGAAAATTAGGGAAGACAAACTTCAGGATGACACAGCAATTTATTTAAGGCAATAACAAACTATGAATGATAAAAAGATAAGGAATGAGGGAAGTTTACAGAGTAGTAAAATATAAACATAAAAATGATACTCTGTTAATAAAATAATAATTCCTAGGCTGCAATATATTTTATAAAGGTCGTCTCCCACGTCAAAATAGACGCTTGATTTAATCACTATCAATTGACCTTCTTCTGTAACTAACGGACTCAGGTTAGTTATGAAGGCTTGAATACCAGCTTTGGCGAACTTAAAAGCGTCCTTAAATTGAGCGCAATCGTTTAGGATACATTTGACAGGTGAAGCGACCTTTATTTTTTAAATTAAAATACTCCCAGCAAAAATCATAGCTCTATTTTTACAATAGATTTGGTCTAGCCACTCTACCATACAAACACAAGTTGTTAATATTCCATTTCGTCCCTTGTGGATCCCATGAAATTAATTCCGCCCTGGACCTACGAGTACCATTAGCTTGAAACCATGATCATCAAAACAAAAACATGTAGGTTATGTGTACCAGTGAGATTCGGATAAACCAGTTCTGCCAGGAGAATTTAATAAGGCCTCTAAAGGAAACAAAGCATCACTGCAAATTAGGCTCACGCGCCTAACATGTACCTCCTGGGTAGGGTTGGAAACCTTTTGTGAAAATATACATGGCCTGATCAGGTGTGATGTGCATGGACTTCTTGATGTAAAAATTATTGAATACATACTTAGAAATGAGGTCATATCACAACTACAAACTTTCAAATGAACTTGAACAGTGTTTTTGAATAATATTTTTATTATAGACTGAGTCCATCGTCTCGGCAGACCAGTTCCTGGCTGGGCTTGAACCATTTGATACATATAAAAGCGGTGAGGCATACTGTCATACAGATTTTTATGACTTCTTGTTCGATGCTAGACCAAGCTATTTCAATTTTTACCGAGCTGTTGTAGATTAATCAGTAAATATTGTCAAAATTCCCACCAAATACATGCTCCATTGAGTAATGATCTAGGGAACATGCGGAACAGGAATAGATGTCAACATTTTCAAGGAAGGCTCGTGAGTTGTTGGCTGTATGTGATCGGGAACTATCTTGTTAGAAACTTGCATTATTAATCTGCTCAAGAAATGTTAACACAACAGGTTGTAACACATCAACAATGTATAGCTGAGAAGTCATTGTGACTTGAATGAAGGCTAATAGGGTTCTACCTTCGTAACTGATGCCACCTCACACCATGAACAAGTTTTTTTTATCTACGCCTTCTCACAATACATACCTGATGATATCTTTATTGGGGCCTATTTATAAAGTGTATCTTGCGATCATGAACCCCAAAACTGAATCTCGATTAATTAGAAAAAAAAACAGAATGTCATTCTTGAGCCTAAAGACGTCTTTCTTATCATCTGCTGATTCTGTAGCAACTGTGTCTATAACAGAGAGTATAATTCTTAATAAAGGCTTGCGACCTCAGAGTTTTCACACACACAGCCATACTATTTCTCAATGTTATGTTTAAACAGGTCTTATTTCAAAATGAAACATTCACACACAATTTATTTTATTTTTACAAATAACTTTTCTATTTTAAAAACAGCACATTTAACTAAAATAATAATATTATTTTAGCAATATTTTCAAGTATTAAAATCAATCACAAATTTTTGAATTAATAATTAAGGATTCATAATTCCAATGGGAAGTCACATTACGATGAATAATAAATAGAGAAAATAGATTAAAACATCAGTTCCACACCTTACACTGTTCTTTTGGGTTCATTGGGGAGCCGGGTTTGCATTTGAACTGCTCGCTGAACGGTGCAAAGTTCTTCAAAGTTCCTAACACTCTGCAAAAAACACAGTCTAAGATATTATAGGCTATATAATAATGTAGAACGGCGCTTGACAATTTTACTGCAAATGTTTCTTTTGAACGAAAAATCGTATTTTACTTAAAGAGAAATAACGACTATTTCTATCCTTAGGGATGAAGTATGAAAGGATGAATTGTGAAGAGTAATGATGAACGGAAAAATAAAGTGTTTAGGGATGGGAGTTCCGTTATTCTTTACTCTTCACAATTCATCCTTTCATACTTCATCCCTAAGGTTAGAAATAGTCGTTATTTCTCTTTAAAATAAATTACAATTTTCCGTTCAAAAGAAACATTTGCGGTAAAATGTCAAACGTCCTTCTACAATCATAAGCCGCATTATATTGTATTATAAATTAACTATATAATAATGTAAATAAAAACTACTATATATATCAAAACAATTTTAATATTTAGAATATGCTTTACAAATTATAGTGGAAGTGATATATTGATTTCTATATAAATCTATAAAAACTATTGTGCGCTCGCGCGCGAGAAAATATCTGAAATAATTTGAATTACATATAACATTTTAAGATAATGGTAAGTTTTCATGTTCTTCTTTATTTCATATCTTGTTATAAAGAAAACTAAATAAAATATTTAAAATAGCTTTCTTAATTATTTCACACATTCTTTAGAAATTTAATGATAAACAACTTTTCAATATTCTATAGAAATTGACATAATACGAATCGCGAGTGATTAATAGTAAGTTAAAACCATTTCTATCTTGGTGTAGCTTATTGGTAAAGCCAAAGTGTGGGTTTTTAAAAAAAATCATAGTTCACATATCTAATGTGTTTCCTGAAATAGTTCGTTAAAACCCATCCAATTTCTTACAAAGTCCTGTAAATATCAAAATTAAGGTTGACCATAGAGATTTGACTTACCTCAATTGTCAGAGCTATAGTTAAGAGTATAATAGTAGCTACCTTATCCATTAGAGGCGGCATTGCCATTTTGAGGGCTGTCTTTGACGCCTATGCTTGCTGGCATGTTTTGTTCATTATGCAGATAACGCGTCTATATTTATCCAGTATCTATGAGATACGAATAAGAAAATATTCAAACAATGTACGACCATTGTATGTATGCCCATTGATGATTATGGGTGAAAATAGCAAGCATACAACTTTCGAGAGCCTTTAATTTCAAAAGAATCAATAAGTGATCACTAGGCCCGTTATGCGATTCTGTGTTTTAAAATATCTCTCAATTCATAAAAGAGAAGGAGTGGCATATCATAGTTGGATGTGAATATTTTATATTCTGATTCTTTTAATCGATTTTGATATTCGAAGATCATATCACGATAAATCTGTTTCCATATCTATTCGTGTCCGACAATAACCTTCCTATCTTTAAAAATTCATTCAAAATTTTATTGATCTGTGTGCAGACAGATATACGTGAGCATGCGATTATTTTGACAAGTTTTGACAAATATATAAAATATCTAAATTTTTTACAAGAGAAGAAATCGCCAGACATCATTGTGAAAAAGGAATCAAAGCTTACAGTGATGAGTTTCTTTCATTTTTGCTGTATAATCTTGGAAAGATTTCAGACTATGATGTTCTTCAACAGATTGTCATAGTCCGAAAGCTTTCCAAGATTATACAGGACAAATAAAGAAATTCGTTGCTGTTAGCCTTGATTCCTTCTTCAAAATATAAAATATTTATACGTATATCATGAGTTAAGGTATTGATAATTATCTGTAAAAAGTCCTGAATAAGTTGTTGTCGTTGTTGTCGTGTCCAAAGAAGAGTCTCAGATGTCTCCATGCATCTCCATCACAGCAGCAGCAATATCCACTATCTTGGGTGTGTAAAGCTGCTGCTCTGGGTCTAAGTCAATTTTCCTGAATAAGTCATATCATGATATAAATTGCAGAATGAAAAATATAATCAATGATTAAGTTGTAGAACGACATTTAAAAATTATCCCGCATGTGTTTCTCTTGAACGAAAAATCGAAATTCATTTAAAATATAACGATTATTTCTAACCTTTGGGATGAAGTATGAAAGGATGAATTGTGAAGAGTAATGATAAACAGAAAAATAAAGTGTCCAGGGATGGAAATAGAACCCAGAGTGTTACGCTTACCGGGCAGATGACATGTCCAATAGGCTACCGTTTTTCCGTTTATCATTACTCTTCACAATTCATCCTTTCATACTTCATCCCTAAGGTTAGAAATAATCGTTATTTCTCCTTTAAATAAATGTCGATTTTTCGTTTAAAAGAAACACTTGCGGAATAATTTTTAAATGTCGTTCTACAATCATAAGCCGCATTATATGGTATTATAAATCATTAAGTTGATCATTCAAATTCTTGTTACATAGCATTTTCCACTTCCTTGTCATTCTCTCTTTCTGACTTTTTGACATCTTATTTTAATCCAAATGAATATTGAACTATCCTCTATGTATAAAAAGGTATATTAAATTTTCTCACCTAAATTCATCAGGACTGTGGTGATCTCTAAGAATTTTTTTCATCATTTCGTCCGAGCAGGTAGAACAATAGAACTGCACACAACGCAAACATTTTATCCCATATATTAACTTGTTCAACATATTTTTAACATATTACTTTATATAATCCTCCTATTGTTAACATTTAAAATATATTTTAATAATTATTCATATAAAATGAAAGGATTTAAAAGCACGAATGTTTCTTTTATACATAATACAAACTTCTACTGTCCTTACTGTGATGAAAAATATATTGGGAGGGTTTGGCTCATATATTTTTTCATCGCAGTAAGGTGAGTAGATGCTTGTATTATGTATAAAAGAAACATTCGTGTTTTTAAATCCTTTCATTTTATATGTATAGATGGCGCGTTATTGCTTTGTGTTAATTATTAATATAATAATATATTTGAATACCAATGATTCTATTTTAGAATGAAAAATCACATGAATAAATAATACTTGCTTGAAAAGCCCATGGATTTTACCGCATAACCAGAGAACAGCAAGCAGACTCAATACATGTTGGATATTGTATATAATTT